TATCCCAAATTCATCTTTTAACAAGAAAGAGCAAACTAATTCTCTATATGAAAGAATGAATTTGAGATGGATTGTGGGAATTTAACGAAGCTCTCCTCTCCACCTCCCCAATCTCTCAGATATTCCTTGTTTACTTTTGGAGAAAACTGTCAAAGCATGTGTTAGCGGGTCTCAGGGTCACTCTAGTGCTTGGAAACAATGTCTGAATGTCTACTTGGAAAAATTGGGAACCTGGGGGATTATTGCATTTGGGGGATGGAGCATAGGATTATGGAGATACTGCTAGACTGGGGATTGAAAACATGGTACAAAAACAAGGTAAAAACCCACTTACTACAGCTAGAGCACATGAGGAAAAATAAAACCTAGTAGCCAAGGCCACCCCAACTGAATTTTCTGACCACTGACCCCAAACTCTAAATTTTTGCTTCTGGAGACACAGGTGATCACTTGGTGGGAGCCTGCTCAGGGGCCTGCTCTGTGGGAGGTGGCGGAATGAAGGATTACAAACATTCTACTTTCCCTTGTGACTTTCCATCTTCAAGTATTTCATCAAGGCTGAACTAGTGCTATCTTCTCTGGACCAGGCAAGATGCTAAAGCCTACAGGCCTACTCTGCTTAACAGACACCTATTGAATACCTCTCATGCCAGACAGTGGGCTGGGGAGTAAAGGTTGCACTTTCAAGGCTCCCTTTCATGAATTGCCTTTCTCTGAAGGCAGCCTACTTTTCCTCTCTCCTTGGTAGTTAGCTGGGATAGATGAGCTAATGAGGTAAAGTTTTAGGTTAATCCTCTAGAAGTCAGTTAGATTTAATCTGTTTTGTTAACAAAGAACGATGCCTCTTATTTTAGTCATCTCAAAAATGTGTTATGAGTCAACTGGGCTTCCTGGTGTGGTGAGCATAAATGAGTCACCCCATCTATCACACCATTAGGAGAACGGAAAACCTCACTCTCTGGCAGTGGGGAGCGATGGCGCATCTTGTAAGTGAAGGACATGATGTCACATTGTACCAAGTGCTTGTAGTCTTCTTGGATCAATCTTTTATATATAGGTGTATGTACATAATGTGTGTGAGTGTGCATATTTACATATGTGTACACACATATATACATACACACACACACATATGTCTATTTAATATAAAAAGGACCATTTAATTTGCCTTGAGGTCTTTCAATAATGGGCTAGACAGGCCAGGATTATAGATTTCTCAATCTCAAAACTTTATAAGGACTTTTTCCTGTGAAAACAGAGCAGAGTTGCTGCAAAGAGAAGCCTTCTTGTTATTCATTGCCCCTAAGTTTCCAATGCTGTGGCAGGGGTATTCCCCAAAGATGGCCGAAAAATATCCCTCAGCTTACATTCCCTCTGTAGTATGACCTTGCCACTCCCACATCAAAAAACAGTGTGTCTATCTTCGTACCCATTTGTGTATGTGTATGTGTATATATACATGAGCATCTCCTTAAAGGACTCTGAGGTAGATGGGCTGAGAAGGGGAAGAAAGGCTCTACTCACCTTTTCTTGGACTCACATTATTCTTATTTGGCAGGCGGCAGGGGCTAAGGGCATGCTGAGTGGATGTTAGAAATTGACTGAGGGGTTGAATGTAGGGAGTCTGTGGTATCTGCGAGGTACTCAGAATACCAAGAGGCTGAGATTAGCAAATCTGATTTAGATTGAATGTATTTTGCACAATAGCATAAATATCAGCTGAACATGATTTTTCCTGCCCTGGTTTGTAATGTTTTTCTTCCAAATTCCCAAACAGAAAGAACTAAAGGTGATTAGCATGATAAAAACATTTATTAACATGTTTTCAAAAACACCTAGAATTTGAGGGTTAATCCCTTTCTGTTTGGTTAATCTTATTAGAAAGAGAAAAAAAAGACAAAGCTGCTTCTGTTATAGAAAACTTCAGCAATGGGGACTTGGGTTATGTTTTTTCAATCTTCTCTTGATCATTAAGCAAATTCTAAAATGTGGACTGACTTTATGCTCTCACATTCAGCAATCTTGTTATAAATGTTTCCCTCTGAATTAATTCTAATGTATGTTCACTGCATAATGCTGAATTTTCATAATATATGAGCTGCAATATCAAAGCACAAAAATGATGCTAGTTTTAAAAGGAAACCACTTTTAACGCTGAAATTTTCCTTAAGGCTTTGTGTATCACTTAAACAGAGGTTCTCAAACTTTATGGTCTCAAAACCTGTTTGTGCTCTTAAAAATTATTGAAGAAGCCAAATAATTTTTTAAAATCAAGTTATATTCATCAATCTTTACTGATTTAGAAATTATGTCAGAAAAGGTTTCAAAATATTTATTCTTTTACAAACAAGAATATTAAACCCATCACATGTTAACACAACATATATTTATAAAAACGACAATTTCCAGAACAAAAAATGTCAGTGAGAAGAGTGGAAGTTCTACCTTTTTGCAAAAACTTAAAAACACTGGCCTAATAGAACATAGTTACATTCTCATGTGTTTATTTAGTCTATTGTGATATCACATGTCATGTAGAATATTTCTTTGAATACTCACGAGAGGATGAGAGTGAAAAAGGCAAATAGCATCCTAGTATTATTATGAAAATCATTTTAATCTCTTAGACCCACTGAAAGTGTTCAGGGACCCCCGATCACACTTTGAGAAGCACTGACTTAGAATATTCAGTGTTGATTATGGATGAAGATGAAACTGAAAATTACTTGTGTATAAGTATATATATCAGGTAGAAATAATGACATACATATGCTTTAGCCTCTGTATAGTACCTCTACTATTTTACTGTATTATAAACATTAGTTCTACTGTTTGACAAGTCATTCTTATGAGATATCTGGGTTGATATAAACATCTAGCAAAACCATGATCTTATTATATCAGTCTGCATGAAAATGAATGACAAGTTTGGACTCACATGTAATTTTAAATCTCATTCTGAAATGTCCTTTTTTTTGTTTGTTTTGAATAAGTATAGATTTAGAGGAAGTTGCAAAAAATGTACAGGGAAGTCCTGGGTACCCTTTAGCCAGTTCCCTCAATGATAATATCTTGCATAACTATATAGCACAATGAGAAAAACCAAGAAACTGACATTGGTACAACCCACAGAGCTTATCCAGATTTCACTAACATTGTGTGTGCATGTGTGCGCATGCGTGTGTGTATGTGTAGTTCTATACAGTTTTATCCACATACAGATTAGTGTGACCACTACCACATCAAGATACAGAACTGTTCCATCACCACAAGGTTCCCTTGCGCTCTCTCTCTCTCAATCCCCTACCCAACATTAACTACAAATAAAGACACTGAGGCTTGTTTGCAGGATGATATGTTTAAAAAAAGAAAATTTGTTGTTGTTATCATTAAGCCCAAATGGTTGATGTAAGAAATGAGGAGATTCAATTTCCCACCTCTTTCCTAAAGACAAATTGTTGTATTATACTTGGCTTTAGAGTATATTGGGAGCTGTAAGCAGAAGGATCAAGACACTGATGACTATTATTAGTAGCAGTGTTAAAACAACGGGTTATTCACTGAAACATCACCTAAGGCAGCAGAAACAAAGGAAAAAAAATGAACATGGGACTACATCAAATTCAAAAGCTTCTGCACATCAAAAGAAACAACCATCAAATTGGAAAGGTAACCCACTATATGGGAGACCATAATTGCCAATGATACATCAGATAAGGGGTTAATTTCTAAAATATATGGAGTGCTCATACAACTCAACAAAAGGAAGACAAAAATCCCAATTAAAAAATGGGCAGAGGGCCCTGGCCGGTTTGGCTCAGCAGTTAGAGCGTCAGCCTGCAATCCAGAGAGACCCTGTTTTGGTTCCCACTAAGGGCACATATCTCGGTTGCAGTTTGTCCCCGGCCCTGGTAGGGTTGTGCGGGTGGCAGCCGCTCGATGTGTACATTTCACATCAATGTTTCTCTCCCTCTCTCTCTCTCTCCCTCCCACTCTATCTGAACAAAAAATGAAAAAATGTCCTCGGGTGAGGATTAAAAAAAAAAAATGGGCAGAGGACCTAAATAGATACCTCCCCAAAAAAGGACATACAAATGGCCAAGAGACATATGAAAAAATGCTCAACATCACTAATCATCAGAGAGATGCAAATTAAAACAACAATGAGGTATCACCTCATACCTGCTAGAATGGCCGCCATCAACAAATCATCAAACAACAAGTGTTGGTGAGGGTGTGGAGAAAAGGGGACTCTAGTACACTGCTGGTGGGAATGCAGACTGGTGCAGCCACTATGGAAAACAGTATGGTGTTTCCTCAAAAAATTAAAAATTGAGCTGCCATTTGACCCAGTGATCCCACTTCTAGGAATATATCCTAAGAAGCCTGAAAACGCCATCAGAAAGAATATATGTACCCCTATGTTCATAGCAGCACTATTTACAATCACTAAGATCTGGCAACAGCCCAAATGTCCATCAATAGATGAGTGGATAAAAAAAGCTGTGGTACATATGCACAATGGAGTACTATGCAGCTGTAAGAAAGACAGATCTCTTATCCTTTGAGACAACATGGAGGGACCTCGGGAGTATCATGCTAAGCGAAATAAGCCAATCAAAGAAAGACAAATACCACATGATCTCACTTATTTGTGGAATATAATGAACAAGGTGGGCTGCTGAACAAAATAGACCCAGAGACATAGAAAGGAATATGGTGCAGACTGACAAACCTCAGAGTAGGATGGCAGGGGAATGGATGAGATGAACCAAAGAATTTATATGCTATGCATAACCAATGGACATAGACAATAATACTGGGTGCAGAGGGGTGGGGCAAGATGAAGAAGAGGATGTCTAGGAAGGAAAAAAGAGAAACATCTGTAACAAAAATAAATTAATAAAAATTGGGAAAAAAAACCTTACTGGTTGTTGTTATGACTAATAAGCCAATTTTACCGTAACCTTTTTCTCCCCATTCTGTTTTGCAGGAGAGCCATGGATTACTACAGAAAGCATGCAGCTGTCATTCTGGCCACATTGTCTGTGTTTCTATATATGCTCCATGCCTTTCCTGATGGAGAGTTTACCATGCAGGGTGTGTGACCCAACTTGGGTTTGCAGTAATAAGAAAAATACATCTTTCTAGATGAACATCAATAATGCCATTAATTATATACCCACCTCCTTTTCAAATGTGGCAAATCCTTGCTGCTGGATACATATCTAGGCACATGTAGATTGTGAACATAAAATTAAGTTCCAAAAATGTATAACGAAAATTATCTTACATATCTGTTTAACTAGCAGCTTGTATATATTAATCTGAAATAGATTTCTGATTATTTATCTGAGTTTTATAAGCAGAAAATATTCCTTATTCAGTTTAGCTCAGTTTTTTTTTTTTTTTATCCTCACCTGAGGACATTTTTCCATTTTTTGTTCAGATAGAGCAGGAAGGAGAGAGAGGAAGAGAGAGAGAAACATCGACGTCAAAGGGACACATAGCGTGGCTGCCACCCGCACGACCCAACCAGGGCCGGAGACAAACTGCAACCGAGGTACATGCCCTTAGCGGGAACTGAACCCGGGTCTCTCTGGACCACAGGCTGACGCTCTAACCACTAAGCAAAATCTGCCAGGGTTTAGCTCAGTTTTTAAAAACATTTTTTTCCTGGAAGATTTGAGAGAATTTTAACATTGCCTTTGTAGATAAGTTAGTGAGTAAAAAAAAAAAAATCATTTTTTATGCAGTAAATGAATTTTGCTGTATTGTTTAAAAAATTTCATAGAGTAGCTGATATAATTTCATCTGCTATGAAATTGTGAGTTATTGTTGGGTCTGGTTTTTCTCTAGACAAGTGGTAATATTTTAATCCCAATCCCACATGCAGATGCTCCCTCTAATATCAGGCTTTCTGCTCTCACCAAGCTTTCTTAAATCTGACATATTTTTCTCTGTCAATATTTGGAGTTTCTGTAGGAAAGAACAATAGCAGATTTTAAAGGGGGAAATTTTTGCCTTTGAGCAAAATTCTCCTTTTAGATGAGCATGATGTTTTCATCTGCCAAGTTGTGTTTCCCTATAGACATATTATTAGGATTGGGATAGAGATGTCATGCTTGGAGAGAGAGACTGCTACTATTGAAATTTTCCATGCATGTCTGTAAAAATGTTTTCCCATGAAAATAATTCTAATTAATATAAGTAGCTATTATGTATTAAGATTAACATATACAGTAGTCAAAAATATTTATTGATATTATTTTCAATGGAAAAAAGACTAACCACCATTCCACAATAAGGACAACTTTATAGTTTTAAAAAGAAATGCTTGGATTATTTTATCCTTTGCCTTAAAATTTTTTTTGTGTGTTTGATAGTTTGCCCAGAATGCAAGCTAAAGGAAAACAAATACTTCTCCAAGCTGGGTGCCCCAATTTATCAATGCATGGGCTGCTGCTTTTCTAGAGCATATCCCACTCCAGCGAGGTCCAAGAAGACAATGTTGGTCCCAAAGAACATCACCTCAGAAGCCACGTGCTGTGTGGCCAAAGCATTTACCAAGGTGAGAACCTAAAGACCCCAGGAGCTTTCAAAGAGTCCAACCAAAGAAATGTCTCCAGAGAAAATCCACAGGGTTTAATGTCAGAGGCATCTAATGACACATCCTTGCTGGGCATTTATACAGGGAGGGGTGGTATTTGCCCCCTTTAATCCAAAGAGTCAGCAATCTTGTGTGTGTAGGCTGGTTTAATTTAGAAGGAAGAGAATAGGGGCAGAGGTGGTGAGGGGCAGATTGGGAGAGAGTATAGCATGCTTACACAATGCATGCCTCACCTTTTAGAGTCAAATATCAGAAAGGGAGAAAATGAAAATCTAGCAAGCATCTGTTTAGCTCAGCTGGCTACAGATAATTTTATTTAACAGTTTTCAATTTTGCCTATTTATCTATCTATCTATCTATCTATCTATCTATCTATCTATCTATCTATCTATCTATCTATCTAATTCTGTATCTTTTTTTCTTCCCCTTTAGGCCACAGTAATGGGAAATGTCAAAGTGGAGAACCACACAGAGTGCCACTGCAGTACTTGTTATTATCACAAATCGTAAATATTTTGCAAAGTGCTGTGTTGATGACTACTGATTCCTTGGAATGGAGAATTAATTTGTTCAGTGTTTCTGGCCTTGCGAGATAAAACCCTCCTTTTCATTACCATACTACTTTTGACATGCTTCAAGGATATACTGATGCTTTATTGCATTTCTCTATTCTACAGAGTGATCAGCAGTTAGTCCTTTTCATTAGGAATGAAATACAGCATTTAGCATGACTATAAAAAATGGTTCTGCTGGAAATAAAGTCTTTTAAATCATCATTCTATTACTGACTTTTAATTTTTTTTTCTTCAAATTTAAAGCCAATTGATTTTTATAGAATTAATTGAAGGGAGTGAGCCCATGGGAGAGCTGCAGCCACCTTCACTGAGTGACCTGACCCTGGAGAACCTTGTTCCCACCAAGCCTTCCAGGGAAAGTTGTGAATCCTTCAGCCAATGGGCTACTTATAAGACATTCCATTGGGGTGAGGAAATAAAATATAACTTGTGTTTTTATAGCATCCCTTTCAATGGTTGATGAGTTTTGTAAAAGTACAGATACATTGGTATGATAATGCATATATAAAATTTATAAATAGTTATGCATATTTGGGGATGTACCAACTTTTTACTGGTAGAAGTTTTCAATCAGAAAAAAAAAAAATAGAGAGAACACTGCCTTAGGGTTTGGGAAAGACAAAATTCTTCCCAGCCTGAAGTTTCTATCCACTTGGGTTATACCTAGCAAAACAGAAAGGAAGTGTATCTTATTAGTCCCTGGCAGCCAGGTTGTAATCGAATGGGGTGGCTCAGGAAAGCATATCACACTGTTCTCAACTAAAAGTAGGCATTGATCCGAAATCCCAGAGGCATCAGCTCTTAGATTCCACATTCGGGTCTGAATGGGAATGAATATATGATTAATGAAGGGTTCACTGAAGGCTAAATGGAGAACCAAACACTTTCACTTTGTCCATCCAAATGCTGCCATGCTTCAAAGTCACACTTATTGAGCATTCATACTGAAAAACAGAGATTGTCCTTACGTTGAGGACCATGGCTTTTGCTCATTAAATTATATCGGCTATGGTAGAGAGCAAAGCCACACAGAAGTTCTACTTCTAAAGGAGCCTGAAATTAGAGGGAGAAATCACTAGTTACAGATAAGCTTTTCAAAAAAAAATTTCCAGTCATCACCGATTTGTTAAGATTCCATTTCTGAGTGAAAAGCCCCTTCTTTAAAGGTTGATAAACACCAGGTGTCAGGATAACAAATTAGAATGAGTGCATGTACTTTTTTAGAAACACTGAAATCCACAGGAACATATTACTTCACTTGTTAATCCATTTGCTTATTATCATTTATTTACTGTCTAGTAAGTGCTGGCAGATTGTTAGATCATGGACACTCAGAGATTCAGGATTCTCTGGAAGATAAGATTGAGACAATATAATGCAGCTTAACTCGAAAGAATAATGGTGCTGATCGTTGGTTCAAGTATTTAATAGACATTCATTGAGAATCTACCATGTCTCAGGTCTTGTGAGCTTGTTTGGAATGACTCAGCAGGGGAATAAATCTACTGATACACCCTTGATGGGAGTGCCCTTGTCCATCTGGGATAATCTCGCTGACAGAGGAGATGGGGGAGTGATGAGAGAGGAAGAAGACATCCTCATGGCCATTCAGATCAGCAAAATTAACCCCGGTGAGCACCAAGGTGAAATGTCTTGGTCATATTTGCCTCCCATCGGACCATGTGCCAGGCGTGTTGCTGGTCCTGGCAAGGCCAAGATGAACAAAACCCAGACCTGCCCTGAAGCAATCACAGTCTAGTGGGGAAGAGAGACATAAACAAAATATTACAATCTAGTGAGATCTGCCTTGGGAGAGGTGTGGTATTTGGTGGCATAAAGAAAGGGATGGTTGACTCTTATATCTGGGGTGGTTCTTCACAGAGAAAGAGCTTCACAGGGCAGGTGATATTTGAGTTGGGTCTAGAAGATAAGTAGGTAGATGGGGGAGGGGTTCATTTTGATTTGAGGAAACAGCATAAGTAAATGTCCTGAGATGAGAACCAGTATGATAGTCACAGATTGCAAGAAGCCCAGTGTGACTAGACTGTAGGTAGCTGGTTGGAAGTTTGGAGCTGCAGAAATAAATAGACACCTATCAAGAAGGTCCTTGTATAACATACCAAAAAAAAAAAAAAAAATGTGCATTTAATGGAAGACCTTAGGCTCTCAAACTAGAAGGCCTGAGGGTTTCTGGAAGCCACAGGATAAATGTGTACCTTCTTGTAAGATCAATTTTGCTTGAGGATTTGGGGGAATTTTATTTTAATTTGAAAACAAAAACTGATCTATTATAAAGTAGAATGCAAAATTGCAAAAATGGGATTAAAATTGTGACTTAAAAAGAAGAAAGTTCAGCCCTGGCTGATTTTGCTCAGCGGTTAGAGTGTCCCCCTGTGGACCAGAGAGACCTGGGTTCCTTCCGCTAAGGGCATGCACTTTGGTTGCAATTTGTCCCCAACCCCGGTTGGGGTCATGTGAGTGGCAACCAGTCGATGTGTCTCTCTCACATCAATGTTTTTCTTTCTCTCTCTTCCCCCCTCTCTCCCTCCTGCTCTATCTGAAGAGAAATGCAAAAAAAAAAAAAAAAAAAAAAAAAAAAAATTCCTTGGGTGAGGATAAAAAAAAAAAGGAATTTCATATTGCAAGTGAGGCCTTCTGGATCCTTCTCTTCTGCCCCTCCCAAAACTTCTGAGAGGTTGTTCAATCTTCTCACATTAGGAGTACTTAAGTGGAGGAATTTGAAAAGTTCTATTAAAGGAATAATATGCTCAGCTTTGTACTTTAGAAAAATCACTGTGACAGCAAGTTGAAGGTGATTTGAGAAGGTGAGATACTGGACACAGGATCATGAATCAGGGCCTTTGCAATTGTCTTGGTAAGAAATGGAGATGGGATATTGGCAGTGAGGGTGAGGGTAAGAGGAAGGGATAGATTTGGGGGAACATTGGAAAAAATAAAGAGATGATTGTGGATGTGGCTTCTGGATTTTGGGTGGCTGGTGGATGACTATGCCAATAACTGGGAAATGGCAAAGTTCGGCAGCAGAAGGGAGATGACAGGTTCAATTGGGGACCTGCAGAGTTGAAGTTCTAAGGAGCAGTTGAGTCTGTCTGACAGGCAGCGTGTTCAGTGATTCAGAGCTTGGGAAAGGATTCCAGCCTGGAGGTATGGGCTTGAGGAACACCAGTGGTCGTGGTATCAAAACCGCAGGAGTGGCTAGGATTTCTCAGGAGTGTGTGAGGGTGCGAGGAAGAGAAGATGCTGGGCCACCAAGGATAGATTCTGGACCAGCCTGGCTGAGAAAATGGGTGCTAGGTCTTTTGGGAAAGTCAATTAGAAAACTCTGATAGGAGCCTTCTCTAGAGAAAAGATTATAATCTCAGATATATAAGCAGCGAAGAGGAAAAGGGGCAACCATGGAGGCTGGAAACTTTGCTTCGAGCCTATCTGTGAAAAATGCCTAAATGAAGTAATAGAGGTAGAGTAAGCACATGTTTAAGGGGTGCTTCTTTAAAAAAAAAAGTTCTATCATTCACCTTAGCCAGAAAGCTGCCTCAAATTCTTCCATTTGCGATTCCTTCCTTATGGCTAAAACACAGTATTTCAGGCACCTTCCTTTTAAACAGCACCAATCTGCCCGAGGCAACACACTTGATTGTTACTACCACAAGGCAAGTAAACAGATCATCAAGTCTGTCTGCACTGGGGGTCCTGGATTCTGCTCACCAGAGAGAGAGGGTGTCTGGCAGAATGATAAAAAGAACAGAAGCAAGATTTCTGCTACTTTGTAGTTGTGTCAAGAACTGACCATGAGAAGAAACCTCTAAGCCCATCACAGGGCTGTCACTGATGACTAGGGCTCAAGGAGGAGGTCGATGAGACAGGGACGGCTCCTGTGTGCTGGGAGTGAGAGGAAAGGGAAGAGAAAGAAGAATGAGGAGGGTATAAAAAGTAGTGGGAGGAAAATGCACGAGAGGGAAGATGGAGAGGTTAGAAGGGCTGCTGGAGGAGTCTGTAGCCTCTGAGGTGGCGGAACTGGATGAAAGTATCATATAATCTCACTTATTTGTGGAATATAATGAACATAACAGTCAGAGGAATGAGGTAGTCCCAGAGACGTGGAAGTGGGGTACAGACCGACAATCCCCAAGTGGGGTGGTGGGGAAGAGATAAACCACAGAACTTATATGCATATATGCATGAACAGTGGACATGGACAACAAACTGGGGACAGAGCAGGGAGGGAGGGGTAGGGGGAAATCAGTGGGGGAAAAAGGAGAAACATCTGTAACAAAAATTAATTAATAATAATAAAAAAAGAAAAAGCCTTGCTCTTTGCTTCCACCTCCCCCACCCTACTGTCAGAGTCAACGTGATCACCCATAGTCAGGACTTCTAGCCTATATGGAGCTTTTGTGCAAACAGAAGAAGATGCCCTCTCTGGATATGCAGAGTACCTGGAGTAAACGCTTCATAATTAAATGGCACAGGCCCGGCCGGTGTGGCTCGGTGGTTGAGCATTGACCCATGCACAAAGAGGTCGCCAGTTTGATTTCCGGTCAGGGGACATGCCCTGTTTGTGGGCCTGATCTCCAGTGTGGGGCATGTAGGAGGCAGCCAATAGATGTTCTCTCTCATTGATATTTCTCTCTCTCTCTCCCTCTCCCTTCCTCTCTCTCCCTAAAATCAATAAAGAAAAATAAATTAAATGGCACAGAAAAGTGGGTATCAGTCAGTTCTTATCCTTTGGGAGGGCACCTTTGTGTAGCACACACACTGCAATTAAATGACAGCCCTCTCATAATCTCATCATCCTAATACCATCGTTGCTGCATTTTGAAGAGGTCATGTCCTAAATTGGCAAGAATCCTAGTTGATGTTGAAGATTCCAAATACTGGTCTTATGTATCCTTATACAGCTGTGAGGCTTCTGGA